CAGCAGCACCAGGAGCACCCTCAACAGGACCGCCTCCAGGACCGACAGCAGTAGCCTCCGCGCCAACACCCGAAGCAGCTCCCGCTCCAGAAGTACCCGCAGGCCCAGCAGCTCCAGTACTCCGAGGACGAGCACCTCCAGCACCCGCGGCACCAGCACCGACAGTAGCAGCAGAACCTCCAGTACCCGCAGCACCTCCAACTCCAGCAGCTCGCCTCCAGCGCCGGGCAAACCACTCACGCAGCTCCTGTGGAGAGAGTGGCTCCCGGCGAGACGAAGCACCCGGAGAACCGCCAGGCTCAGCACCACCAGACGCCCCACGAGCAGGCCCAGCTCCCTCAGGCTCAGCACCTCCAGGCGTAGCACCCCCAGGCTCAGTACCCCCAGGCTCAGCACCCCCAGGCGTAGCACCCCCAGGCTCAGCACCCCCAGACTCAGCACCCCCAGGCTCAGCACCCCCAGTCGTAGTACCCTCAGGCTCAGCACCCCCAGGCGTAGCACCCACACGCTCAGCACCCCCAGAGTCAGCACCCCCAGAGTCAGCACCCCAGGCTCAGCACCCTCAGCAGCACCAGAGTCAACAGCGACCTTGACAGGCTCGACAGCGTCTACCTGGGACACACCTGAAGGGGCACGACCCTGAGGGGGGAGGGGGTCTACCGGGGGGGGACCTGGCACAAGGAAGAGCGGTGGCGGGGGGAGGGACGGAGTGCGGTAGGGGAAGAGACGGTAGTAGGGGACCGACTCGTCGAACGTGACGTCCTGGGAGGACAGAACACGGCGAGAGGTGGGGTGGTAGAACTGCCACCCTGGCGCGTCAGGGGGGAAACCCAGGAAGACGCAAGGAGCAGCACGAGGGGACAGCTTGTCCGTAGACAAGTCGCGAACAAACGCCCGAGATCCCCAGACACGGAACGCAGACGCATCGCCAACCTTCCCCGTCCACAGCAAGGCTGGGGAGGTCTCCGGCATGGAGACTCTGGGCTGAAGGTTGATCTGATGCGCCGCGTACCGTACCGCAAATGGCCACAGAAAATGGGGGGCAGCCGCATGCATCATGGACGTACGGGCAACGTCCATGACCATGCCAATGCGGCGCTCAGCAATCCCATTTTGCTGTGGAGAGTCCGGAAGCGTGAAGGTCTGGCGGATGCCTCGTGCACGACAGTAGGCTCGCAGAAGGCCAGAGGAGAACTCTCTGCCTCTGTCAGAGTGCAGACGCAGAACAAGAAAGTCCGAGCCGAAGCTTCGCCTGAGCTGGAGACGAGCTGCGCGGATCCAGTCGATCAACACCTCAGTGACATCACCCTTGCTGCGCAAGGGGAAGACTGTGGTGTAACGCGAGTAGTCGTCAACCACCAGCAGGAAGTAGCGCTCGTGACCATGTCCACGGACGCGGGCCGGGCCCCACACGTCCATGTGGAGCGTCTGCAGCGGGGCCTCTGTCGGAGGAAACTGGGAGGAGTGAGGGGCAGCCCGCTGCCGCCCCTCGACACAGGGGATGCAGGTAGGGCCAGGCCCGGGAGGAAGGGGAGGGAGGGACCGGGGAAGACCAGAGACAAGGACACGGGAGGCCATGCTTCGGAGACGAAGCAGGGAGGGGTGACCAAGGCGGTGGTGCCAGAGGAGAGTCTCGTGAGACAGGAGGCGACACGAGCAGGGGGCAGACTCAGGACCAGACCTAGACGCTACAGCAAACACCTAACCCGATGCAGCTACCTGACCAGACGTAGTGACTGGAGGAGACGCAGTGGTAAGTGTGTACAGGCTCGACCCCGGCCGACGAGTAAACGTGGCCAGGTGTCGGCCTGTCCGAGCGTCCGTGCAGTGGGTCACCCGCTGACTCGCAGGAGTGAAGTGGTGAACCCCCGCATCCTGCAGGTCAACACCACTCACCAAGTTCGTAGAGAACGAGGGGAGGTAAAGACCAGACAGGGTGCCAGAGGGGGCCGCCGGACACGGGAGGACAGTGGAGAAGTGAGCAAGGACAGGGCCCCCAGAGGGGTCTGCCAGAGAGACTGCAACTGGCCGACCAAGCGGCGTGAGTGTGGTGCGGTCTCGAAAGAAGGAGCGGGAAGCCCCCGAGTCAAGGGTGAAGGTGTGAGGGGCAGGAGGCGACGCGGTACCTGAGAGAGCAGACTCACCCGCACCTGAGGAAGTAGACTCACTAGCACCTAGAGCAGCAGCCGCACCTGTACCTGGAGCAGGAGACACACTAGCACCCAGAGCAGCAGCCTCACCAGCAGCTAGAGTAGCAGGCTGTATACCCGGGTCAGGCGGTACGCACAGGTGACCGGCACGGTTAGCACTAGTAGGCAATGCATACATGGTAGTGAGAATAGCATCATAGTCAAGAGCAAATATATCTACCCTCTGCCTAAGCAACTCCACCCAGTCGGGGAGCTCAGCCTCGTCGCCAAACTCGGTACGCCAGGCGTCGCTCAGACGGGCGAAGCAGCGGGACTGTGTGTGACTAGGCGTCCCACAAGGCTGACTAGTCCGAGCACCAGTGCGAATCACGTAAGAGCAGCGAACAGAACTGAGAGACCCTCTACTCTGAGCGTACCACTCACGAAGCTGCTGGGGCGTGAGAGACGCTCGTGGGCGTCGCTGGAGCTGCATCTGGCCGCCGCCAGTAGTAGTAGCAGTAGTAGCGCCGCCACCCCTACAACCCCAACCAGCGTACCACTCACGCAGCTGCTGGGGCGTGAGGGACTCACGCGGACGTCGCTGGGGCTGCATCTGACTCCGCCAATAGAAGCAGGAGCAGGAGTAGCTGCAGTAAGGCAGGCAGCCAAGCAAGTGGCAGGCAGCGCGCTAGTAAGGCAGGGGCTCACCAGTGGTGGGAAGAGCATGCTCGACGACTCGGCGACTCGGCGGTGCGGGCGGCTCGGGCGGCTCGGCGGCACGGCGGCACTGCAGTAACTGCGGCTCGGCGGCTCGGGCGACTTGGGCGGCTCGGCGGCTCGGGCGACTCGGGCGGCTCGGTGGCTCGGCGGCTCGGGCGGCTCAGTGGTACGGCGGCTCGGCAGCAACTGCAGCTCGGCGGCTCGGCGACCCGGCGGCTCGGGCGGCTGAGGTGGCGCTGCGGCTCGGGCGGCTCGGGTGGCTCGGGTGGTTCGGCACTAGCTCGGCGGCGCCGGCGGCTCGGTGGTGACGGCGGGGCCGCTTGGGGACGGCGGCGGGGCCGGGTTGAGCGGCGACGGGGCCAGCAGAGGCGGCGCCGGGGCCGCAGGGTAGGCGACCGGACCAGCAGAGGCGGCGCCGGGGCCGGGAAGGGCGGCGCCGGGGCCGGGGAGGTATGCGACGGGGTCGGGAAGGGCGGCGTCGGGGCCGGGAAGGGCGGCTTCGGGGCCAGCAGAGGTGGCGCCGGGGCCGGGTCGGGAAGAGCGGCGTCGGGGTCGCCGGGGTAGGCGACGGGGCCAGCCGAGGTGGCGCCGGGGCCGGGAAGGAGCGAGCCGGGGCTGCAGGGGCAGGCGACGGGGCCAGCAGAGGCGGGGCCGGGTCGGGAAGGGCGGCGTCGGGGTCGCCGGGGTAGGCGACGGGGCCGGGAAGGGCGGCGCTGAGGCCGCAGGGGTAGGTGACGGGGCCACTAGGACGGCGGATCGGGGCCGCGAGGGCGGCGCGACACGGCCGCTAGGGCAGCGCGACGGGGTAGCGGGGCCGCGCGCCTCGGGGCGCGCGCTTGAAAGAAAATCGCCGCGCGCCAACGGCGCGCGGCAAGATGAAAATAGGTCACACGCCACGGGGCGTGCAACAGATCGAGTAGCAGCGGAAGCAGTAGTAGGGCCTTAGGAACAGTTCCCACGAGGGAACCTGCTCGATACCATGAGAAAACTGAAACGAGGATGAATGAACTATGAACGAACTGAGTACAAGTACTAACCCTAATTGGGTTGTACCCCTTATGAGCTACCCCACTATAGCCTACACAATAAGCACAAGCTATATGTTCTGACAGTGCACACGCTCCTCGGGTGCATAAAGGCATGCCAGATGGCGGCGAGAGTGGAGGCGACGATATACCGGGAGACGGAGCTGAGCATCATGCGTGAGATATTGGTGGTCAGGTCGGAGGTGCGGTTCATGATCCGCACCAAGAACGAGCGGGACCTCAAGTGAGTTTTTGTTTAACCTCTGTCGACCTCTCGCCAGTTCGCCGACCCCACCCGGTAACGTGGGCCGCTGTTCACTCTCGGAGCGGGGCTGCGGGGCGGCGGTCGTGCGCTCGGCCCAGCCCTGGGCCAGGCTGGCGGGCCCGCACGCGCGTCACTCACCCGCCTCGTCATTCTCGGCTCCGACGACCCCCCTCGACGACACTGGCAAAACTGTTCCGACGACCGAATTCCGATGAGGCTTTCGGTACACTTGCCATTATACACCTAACCACCGCTATTTTCTTTCGGTCTATTTTTAACCTCACTTGCACAAGTGGGGTATGCACCCTTTCTGAATCTTTGACCGAGGGTTGTGTGGGGCATCATTAAATTTTAGCGAGGGTCTGTTCCAGATCCCCGAAGAGAGTACTGTAGAATTGCGCTATGGATTCAGATTCGCATAATGAGTTTAAACTTAGAGCATTAGGCGTCATTCATAGTCCCAGTCAAATAAGTGTCGAACTGAAATAGTCGAAAACGTGCAGGGTAACTTTGAAACGCGAGATTGGTGGGTTGGGTTTCCCCTTGAAAATAGCGGTGGTTACGACAATGTACTGTACACATGGCTGACAGAGCATCAAACCATGTATTGGCAGGCGTTGACAATTGCGGTGACAGTTGAGGCGAGGTGGCTTGCGCCGTACAGGTTCGCCATTCGCAAACATCGTTGGGGCGTGTAAGACAAGCCAGACAAGAGGTCCGCCCCTCCACCCCAGCTTCAACGTCGCGTTGCGTTTTTCGCGCCATCGCAAGTTCCAAGAGAGGAGACGGTGGATGTCGACGACGATCAAGCTCGAATGCCCCCAAAAGCCATCCCCGAAAAGGGTTTGGACGCGGCTCTTTATGGTGCAGTCTAGAATAGCATGGTTGCAGTGCGGTGAAAAGTCCGCTGTGCTGGATTTCGTCGAACGTCGCGTCGTGTGCACGACGTCGCTAGTTTGCCACCCATGCCTCCCAACCATGGATGTCGGTGTGTGAACACTCTCTGGTTGACTACAAACCCTTTCTGTTCATGTCAATTGGTGTAATTAAAATAAATCTTGGGGGCTGGAAAAAATCTCTCGTAATAACTCAGTGCAGATGAAAAACTGCCGCATCGCTCGCCGTGAACTGCGGGTTGATTTGGGGGGCACGTGTCATCTCTGTGTTGCGATTTTTTTACGGATCGCGTTTCCCCTCTATCTCATAGCCTTGGCTCGTGTCGCTGACGGTCTCGTCGACTGCCATAGCCTAACGAATCCAAGTAAGAGGATTCGCTTTCGCCGATCTTGGTATCACTGCCGTTTAGGGTCCTCCATCATTTTCGTTCCTGCCCTAGATGTTGCCGCCAACTGTCCGACGACAAAGCTGCATCTTTTAGGGTTTCGTTGTTATCCACTCAACTACCTTTTAAGTTTTCGTTTCGCGGTTCCCTTCCAAAATCCCCCTCGTCTTTGTCCCTCAGGTGAATCGTCGAACCTCTTCTCAAACCCAAGCTTCGATACAAGCTGTCTCGATATAGGATGGCGTCGCAAGAACCTGAACGCGTCGTGCCACCCATGGGCGTACTTATTTCCGTGGCGTGCGTTAGAACCTGGGGAAACATCCTTGAACGACAAGGTCTTAGCCACCGCATCTGGCGGCGAAAACCGCGGGCCATTCCTTGCGCTAGATGCTGCGACACAGGCGGAAGCGATTGCGACAGCAGGAGGGGCGGCGGCGTCGCCTGCTGACGTGTCAATAAAGGACGGGGTCACGGGAGTCACGGACACCCTACTGGCAGCTGACGGGTCCCGTTTTTTACTGTTATCTTCCGCCTTTTCCGCGTCTTCTAGTGGCGACGGCGCTTCTGGAAGTAGCAATAGCAGTAGCGCGTATGGCGGACCAGGCGTGGCGCAAGCGCTGTGCGCGCTTAAGCCCGCGGCGCCGACCAGCAATGTCTCGCAGGAGGCGCAGCATCAGCAGGCCCCGCGCCAGCTGTCCCTCTCGTTCTTTGCGCGCGCCAGCCTGTGCACGGAGGGGGAAGGGCGTGCGGAAGGGGCCGCGGAAGGGGCCGCGGAAGGGGAGGCGGAGCGGCTGTTGAAGGTGCTGCTGCTGGCAGTTCCGCTCAACGCTTCCGCCGCCGCCGCGGCAGGGGGAGGGGGAGCAGCAGGCGGAGCAGCAGCAGCTGCGGGAGGGGCGGAGGAAGGAGGAGCGGGGGCGCAGGTGTGGGGGGAGTGGCAGGTGGGAGTGCCATGTGGGAAGAGCATTGCGAGTTTGTCCGGCGCCTTACCTTGGTTCCAAGTGGGACCCCTCCTCTTCCCCCTCCCTGACCCCCCGAGTTCCTCCTCCTCTTCTTCCTCCTCTTCTTCCTCCTCCTTTTCTTCCTCCGCCTCTTCCCCTTCTTCATTGGTAGTGCCTCGGGGTGGAGTGGCGCTGCATTTGGTGATTCGAGGTTTGCAAGGCAGTAGCAGCAACAGCAGCAGTACCAGCAGCAGCAGCAGCAGCAGCACCAGCAGTAGCAGCAACAACAGTAGCAGCAGCAGTAGCAGCAACAGCAGTAGCAACAATAGCAGCAGCACCAGCAGTAGCAGCAATAGCAGCAGCACCAGCAGTAGCAGCAACAGCAGTGACACCAGCAGTAGCAGCAGCAACAACAACAGCAGCAGCAGCACTAGCACAAGCAGCGATACCAACAGCACCAGCAGCACCGGCAGCGGCAGCAGCAGCACTAACAGCACCAGTAGCAGCAGCAGCAGCACTACCAACATCTTCCCCACAATCAGCGCTGGCGGAAGCACTAGCATCGACAGCAGTAGCGTCGTCATCAGCGGCACAGGCGGCAGCAGCAGCAGCGGCAGCGGCAGCAGCAGCAGCAGCAGCAGCAGCGGCTGTGCTGAAGCTGACAGCACGGGGAACAGTGGATTCACCATCAGTGGATTCACTAGCACCTCCTCCTCTGGCCTCCTAATCCGATCAGCGGCTCACCCACACCCCTCCCTGAAAAGCCCTATCCGGTTCCCCAGACTAAACCTGTCTGGCCTAAGGGCCTGTGGTGGGTCACAGCAGCCTCGAACCCTTGGGTTGATTCGGGCTGCAGGAGCGGGGGAAACAGAAGCAGAAGCAGCAGCGCCGGCAGTGCAAGCAGCTGGGGGGATGGCAGTAGGGGGTGCGGTGTCTGTATCCCCGAATGTGGCAGTGGCAGCAAAGGGTGTGGGGGAAAGGCCTTTATCCCAGACAGCACCAGCAGCGGAGGGTGTGGGGGAGAGACCGGCACAAGCAGCAGAGGGGGGTGCGGGCGCTGTTACCCCAAGTGAGGCAGTAGCAGCGGTGCAAGCAAGTGGTGGGATGGCGTCAAGTGGTGCAGGTCCTTCATCCCTTACTGCTGCACCAGCAGCAGAGGGTGTGAGGGAAAGACCGCCATTAGCACCAGCAGCATCCGGTGTTGCTGGGAATGCGGGAGGAGCAGGAGGGGCAGGAGGAGTAGGAGGAGCAGGAGTGGCGGAGTCGGCAAGTCCAAGGAGAGTGGGAGTGGCATCGGAGGCAGGCAGCATGGCCGTTGACCTTGTGTCTGTCATGTCCACCCGCAGTGAGTCTCAGAGAGAGAAGGGTAGGCTGGCGAGGAAAGAGAGTTGCAGACAGGCGGTTGGCAAGAGTGGGAGTGGCGTCGGAGGCAGGCAGCATGGCCATTGACCTTGTGTCTGTCATGTCCACTCGCAGTGAGTCTCAGAGAGAGCAGGGTAGGTTGACGGGGAAAGGGAGTTGCAGACAGGCGGTTGGCAAGAGTGGGAGTGGCGTCGGAGGCAGGCAGCATGGCCATTGACCTTGTGTCTGTCACAGGGTTCTAAAAAACGACCGTTTTTTTGAAATTTTACCGTAAAAAACGGTATCGTAAAAAATGGTCGTAAAAAACGGTTTAAAACGGTTCCAGGAGGTGTTTCCTGTAGAACTAATGAAATGGCCACTTGGTGGGACCAAATTGAACCCAAAATGGAGCAGCATGAAGGGGACGGACCCCTTCTTGCATGTATGCGCTTGTTGGCATGATTGAAAATGTTTTTGACCTTGTTTTTCTCTTTTTTTTCTTTGTGAACAGACTTCTCTAACAAAAAAACGGCCGTTTTTTTGAAAAGTCACCGTAAAAAACGACCGTAAAAAACGAACCGTATTTTACGGAAACCGTAATTTTGATCCTGTCATGCCCACTCGCAGTGAGTGAGAGAGGCAGCAATGAGTGAAAGAGGCAAGGCGAATTGACCTTTCAGTGAGTGAGAGATTCAATGTTTGAGTTGACTCAAAACTCGCCCCAACCTAAACGTTGCAGTGAGTCAGTGAGTCAGGGAGGTCGCGGCCAAATTATTCAGTGTCTCACTGTCAACGAGTCAGCACAAGTTAGCTTGCGTGCCAGTGGCTCTTTCTTGCCGAAATTCCCTGCGCTGCTCTGGTGCAATGGTCAGTAGCGTCATTTTGTTTACCATTTCGCACTTCCCTTCGGCAACCCCTGTTCCTCTTCCCTCCTGCTCCTCGTCCCCCTCACGCCATCCCCCCCACTTCCCTGCAGCCAACCCCTCACCCCTCAAGTCCTTCACCCACTGGCCGCTCTCCAGCTCCCACCCGCTCCTCACAGCCGGCTCAACACGCCGCAACCGCTCCTCCCTCTCCCTCACCACGCTCTCCGACCTCAACGCTGCCGCCCTCGCGCTGCACCCCACCCCCTTCGCCCTGCTCGCCCCCGCCACGCCCTCCTCCCCCTGCCGCCCCTTCTCCTTCTCCACCTCCTTCTCCTTCCGCATCTCCTCCCCCAATGCCGCCGGGCTGGGCGGCGAGGGCTTGGCGTTTGTGATGCTGCCGTCTCCTACCCTTGGCTTGCCGGGGCCCTCCCTGGGCTACGGCCGCCTGCTGCTGCCCCCGGGGAGTACGAGTGGTGCTGATAATGCCAGTGGCGTGTCATCTCAGGTATGTGTCATCTCTAAGTACGTGTCATCTCAGGTATGTGTCATCTCAGGTACGTGTCATCTCAGGTATGTGTCATCTCCGGTACGTGTCATCACAGGTATGCGTCATCTCAGGAACAAGCTCCTTGGCATTCTGCATCGTAACTCCCAATGCCGCGAGGCTAGGCAGGTGGGGAGGAGGGCATGGCGTTGTGTGGTGATTTTTTTTCTTCGCCCTCATTAGCTCAGCTGGCAGGGGGTATATGGTCATCTGCTCCAACTCTTCCATCTCCCGCCTTCCGTCTTTCCAGTTAGTTTTCCAATGGTCTCACTCACTATGCTCGTCTTTCTCTCTTGTTCTGCTGTTTTGCTCTCTTGCTCTTCTCTTTCTCTTCCGCTTCTCTCCCCCTCCCATCCTAGCAGCACAGGAGCCTAGCAGTGGAGTTTGACACGGCCTCTTCCCCCGAGTTCTTCGACCGGCCCGACCACCACGTGGGGGTGAACCTGCACGGCAGCATGCTCTCTCTCGCCTCTGCCCCCGTGCACCCCCTCGGCATTCCGTCCCTCAACGCCGGCCAGACCCTCCTCGCCACCATCCACTACAACGCCTCCTCCTCCCTCCTCACCGTCTGGCTCTCCCCTGCCCCCTCCTCTTCTGCTTCTTCCTCCTCCCGCTCTTCCGCCTCTCCCACCTCTTCCTCTCGCACCTCTTCCTCTCGCTCCCTTGGTTTTCCTCGCTTTCTTCGCTTCCCGCGCCCTTCCCGCTCTTCCTCCTTTTCCTCCTCCTCAGCCTCCTCCCACTCCGCTCCCCCTCTCCCGCGCTCGGCCGTGCTGACCACATTCCTGGACACCTGCGAGTGGCTGGGGGGGAACGACCCGGAGGCAGCAGCGCCCCACCCGCTGCTGTTTGTGGGATTCACAGCGGCCACGGGCAAGGGGGCGGAGAAGGCTCAGGCACACGAGGTGCTGGGGTGGACCTTCCAAGTGGGGGAGGGTGAGTTGTTTGGGAGTGACTTTTAGAGGTGCCAGGGTGGAGGTTTGACGTCGGGGAGGGTGAGTTGTTTGAGTGACCTGAAGAGGTGCTGGTGTGGAGGTTTGAAATAGGGGAGGGTGAGTTGTTGGGAAATTTCTTGATAATCATACAGCCGTGGGAAGGGATGGGATGGAAAAGGGGGCGGAGCAGGTTCAGGCAAACAAGGTGCTTGTGTGGAATTTCAAATCGGGGAGGGTGAGTTTGAGTCGAGGGCCCTCGTCCCTGTTCTTGGATCGTTTCGTGTGTTTCTCGACACATGCAAGTGGGCCGGGGTGAATGAGTTGTCAGACGTCCAACACAAGGCATGCTTGATTGTTCCTAGGGAATTAACAGGCTCGCTAGCCTGGGGGGTTATGGGCGCACTGACCCGCTACTTAACAAGCCCTTTTTATCCCAGTGGTTAGTGGCTGGGATTCTGACATGGTATCAGAGCGAAAGTTTTGGGTTCGAATCCTCATGTGTGCACATGTTTGCGCTTTACCCTCTGTCGTTTCCTAGGACTTTCTTGTGAGAGAGGGTGTCAGAAGACCAGCACTGGGGAGTGCGCTTTCCCCTCACTGATTCAGCACTGCATTATTTCCCTGCATTTTTTTTTCATAACCCTTCCTCACTGTCTTTGCCCTCCGTCACTTTTTCTGAACTGAAACCCTCCCTTCCGCCCTCTCCCCTTATACCTTACTGTGTCAACTCCCCCCTCCTTCCCCCCTCCACCTCGTCTCACATACCATGCCAACCCCAGCAGCGGAGGATCCGCTTCCGTTTTGGGCGGCAGACTCGTTCTCCTTCCCCTACATCACGCCAGCCACTCCCCTGCTGACACGTGGCAGCACACGAAGGCGTTTCTTCGCCGCCGATCTCTCCGTCGCTGCTGACGTGGCATCATCCACCGGCACCGGCCAATCAGATGAGCCCGCGCCTGGAGCCCTCTTCTTCCCTCGCCGTCTCCCCCTCCTCTACTCCTCGTCCTCCCCTCCCTTCCCTCCTCCCTTCCGTCCTCCTCCCTTTCCTCCTCGCACTTCCCCCCGTTCCTCTCCTTCCTCCTCCTTCTTTCCCCAGCCCACAGCAACCGAACCCCCAACCTGCAAGGCTCGCTCCTTCACCTTCACATTCGGCTTTTCCATGAATACATCCGCTTCCCATGGGCTCGTGTTCGTTATAAGCACACATGCGACCCTGGGCCTAGGCGGGGCTTATATGGGGTACGGCCGGGACCCATCCTCGCGACTCGCTAATGGCAGCTGGCCCGACGGCGCCCGGAGTGTTGCTATCAAGTGGGACACTGTAGCAGACCCAGAAACAGGCTATATGAATAATCAAAGTAATACTAGTACTATTAATAATATAAATAATATAAATAATATAAATAACATACACATCGGCATCAATACCGATTTCAACATGACCTCGGTTTCCGCTAAGAAGGTGTTAGACGCTATGGAGCCTGAGGAGGTGTGGCAGATGAGGGTTGACTATAACGGGAGCAGCAAGGAGATGCTGATCAGATGGTACCGCCCCCCTGCACTACGAGGCAGCATGAATGTCTCTTTTGACCTCTGTGCCGCCCTCACTGGAGCCTCTGTTGACTCCAGCGGAAGCAGCAGCAGTGGCGGTGGCGACAGCAGTAGCAGTGGTGGCGGCAGCAGCAGCAGCAGCAGCAGCAGCAGCAGCAGCAGTGGCGGTGGCAGCAGCAGCAGCAGTGGCAGTGGCAGCGGCGGCAGCAGCAGCAGCAGCAGCGGCAGCAGCAGTGGTGGCAGCGGTGACAGCAGCAGCAGCAGCGGCAGTGCAACGGACCTGTCGTCGCCATCCTTTGGGCAGCTGGTCGTTGGGTTCACCAGCGCTGCTCTCCCTCCCCCCCCTGGTCGCCTGCCCTCCCCCGTCGCCCTCTCCTCCTGGACCTTCCGATTCACAGGTAGAGGGGGGAGGGGAGGGGTTGACAAGGGGGGAGAAGGGAAGGGGGGAGAAGGGAATGGGGGAGAAGGGAATGGGGGAGAAGGGCATGGGGGAAAAGGGAATGGGGGAAAAGGGTATGGGGGAAAAGGGTATGGAGGAGAAGGGTATGGGGGAAAAGGGTAAGGGGGAAAAGGGTATGGGGGAAAAGGGAAGGGGGGAGAGAGGAGAGGGGAATGGGTTGAAGGGGGGAAACGCAGGTTTGAGAAAGTACCAAAGTCGATCCAGTTTGGATCGAACCGGGTCAAGTCAAAATGCCCCTGTGGTCAAATCGAAGTGAACCGGTTCGGTTGATCCAAATCAAGTGGGGCCTAAGGGCCGAGGTTCGCCCTTGTACTCCAACCTCCTTGGGCTTGAGTAGACTGACTGACACCATTCCGTTCCAGAAGGGGGGGGACCTGACCATTTCAGTTGGCAGCGGCGGCACGGCACCCCTAGTCGAGCCGAGCCAATCTACGAGTCGTTTTTTTGTACGGAGTTTGCGTGGAACCAAACTGCAGTTCAGTTCAGTTCAGTTCAGTTCAGTTCAGTTCAATTCAGTTCAGTGGATGCTATGCAGGAGGCCCTCTTATCCTGATGTTTGAATTCGTGGTTTGGAGTGGATCAGGAAGCAAGGGACTTCCATCCTGTTGTCTTGTCTTGAATACCCTTTCTCACCCCCTCGCACTTCTTTCTCACCCCCTCGCACTTCTTTCTCACCCCCTCGCACTTCTTTCTCACCCCCTCGCACTTCTTTCTCACCCCCTCGCACTTCTTCACAACCCTTCACACCCCCTCGGCATTCCCGTACGGTTCCCTATGTCCCCATTCTCCTCCTGCCTGCCTCATACTTCCGCTCCACACACTCCCCATTCCCATCCTCCCTCCCCATGGACAGACACCAATCCCTGCAATGCCTCTCCAGTGCTCCCCTGTGGTACGGGTGTGTGCACCACTTTTGAGACGTCTCAAAAGTTGCACCAAGGCACCTGCCCCGTCTATCCTCCTCGTGCCTCACACCCTCTCTCTCTGCACCTCACCCTCCATCTGCCCCACACCCTTCACCCCCCCCCCAACAGACACCGACCCCTGCAAGGGTTCTCCAGTGCTCCCCTGTGGCACTGGCGTGTGCACCAAGGCACCTGCCCCGTGGGACCCGTCTGTCCTCCTGCCCTCCTGCAAGTGCCCCTTCAATCTCCCCTCCTTCGAACCCACCCACCTCGTCGGCCTGCCCTCCTGCTTCCCTGGTGAGACGTGGAGTGCGGTAGGCAAGAGTTGGCAGGAGGTGGAGTGCGATAGGCAAGAGTTGGCAGGAGGTGGAGTGCGGTCGGGGCCGTCATTCTTGCTTTGTGGATGACGTAGTTTGTGTGTTTGTGTGTTTTGATTTTGTTTTTTTAGGTTTCTCTAAAATGTGTACTCTTGCTCTGTTTCCACTCTTCCAGTACGCCTTCTTAACTTTTCTCCATCCTCCTCCATTCCCCTTCTCCCTTCTTCCCCTTTCTCCTCCCTTCCCGTTCCTCCTCTTTTCTGCTTCCTCTGTACCGTCGCCCGTCCCCTTCCCCCCAATCCGCCGTCCTTTTTCCCCCCATCTCCCGTCCCTTTTCCTTCTGTCCTCCGTTCCCTGGCCCCACCGTCCCCTCCCCTTCTCGTCCCCTCACCAGATTCCTTCACGTGTCGCCAGCTCGCCAGCAACCCATGTGCCCCGGGGGTGTGCATTGATGAAATGGACGGCACCTACTCCTGCCTCTGCCCCTCTGATTTTCCTACTCCCCCCTTCTCTACATCCCCTCACCAGAGACCTTCACGTGTCGCCAGCTCCCCGCCAACCCATGTGCCCCGGGGGTGTGCATCGATGAAATGGATGGCACCTACTCTTGCCTCTGCCCCGCGCCCTTCTTCTCCTTCTACTTCTTCCCCAAAGGCACTGCCCGCTGCCACCTCTGTGCGTACCACTTACTACCTGCCTCTGCTCCCAAAGGGATGTGGTTGGGTTTCTGTACTCCCTGCCAGGGTTTCGGGTTCGGGTTTAGGGTTTAGAGAACCCTCTGCCCCTCACCTTTCTTCCCCGGACTTCCCCTCAAAGGCACTGCTCGCTGCCACCTCTGTGCATACCACCTGCCCTTGCTTGCTTACTCCCTTACCACCTGCCTCTGCCCTCAAAAGGGGACGTGGGTAGGTTTCTGTACTCCCTGCCTCTGCCCCTCACCTTTCTTCCCCCTGGACTTCCCCTCAAGGCCACTGCCCGCTGCCACCTCTGTGCTTACCACCTGCCCTTGCGTGCCAGCTTGCTAGCTTACCACCTGTCTCTCTCTGTCCCCAAAGGCAGATTGCAAACTGTGTTTGCCAAAAGCCCTGCATGAGTTTCAATAGTCAGGACGACTTTTGAGACGTCTCAAAAGCCACCTGCCTCTGTCGCCATAGGCAAACTGTGTTCTCCGAAATTCCCCGGATGAGTTTCAAGCAACAAGTTGGTTTGTGTGGTTGTTTTGATGCGTTCAGTACCCACCTTCCTATAGTCCTATGGCCTATAGCCATATGGCCTATAGCCATATGGCCTATGGCCTATTGAGTCGACTCAAGAATCGACCCTATGCTTTACCCATGCTTACCATGCCTACCCCATGCTTTATCCATGCTTACCCCATGTTTCACCCATGCTTACCCATGCGTGCAGTGCCAATTTTCCTGTCACCCTATGGACTCACATGCCCACTCATCCTCAGTGCTTACGGGCTCACAGAGACCGAATTCTTTCTCCAAAACAAGGTGAGGAGGGCTGCGCGTTTCGTGTCACATCACATCCGGTCACCTCAGATACTATTCATGTTCTCATATGCGCCCACTCATCCTCAGCGCTTACGGGCTCACAGAAACCGAATTCTTCCGCCAAAACAAGGTCTGAACGGCTTTGGTCGGGAATGTTGCATCACTCTTATTGGCTCGGCTCATCATGCAGCAACGTGTTTTGAGTCAACTCAAAACACGCCTTATTGGCTCGTCACATCATACAGCAGCAATCACTAGATGTTTTAGATCGGTTCCATAAACCATAAACCATAAACCAATCCACCCTTAATGGTTGGCTCTATTTGTGTTTGGTGGGGGCCCAACTGTAAAGGATGGACTGGATTGGCACCCCAACGCAATGACAGCACACCCACAGTGGGTTATATGGTATGCACCCACAGTGGGTTATATGGTATGCACCCACGCATGTCAGCCCAACTGTAGAGTACAGCACACACAGTTTACAGGCAAACTAGCTTAGCAGTCTACAAGGTAATTTAACACCTCTCATTGGCCCTCACTGCCCCTCACTGCCCCTCATTGCCTCTCACCCCCCACTCCCCGTTGTTCTTTCCACCACCAGTGTTCCGCCTGACTCATCTCATCCCAATGTCTCCTTGTTCAATCTGGCATCTCTCCCTCCCTGTTCCAACCAACCAATCCCCTCCTTCATCTCTCCCTGTTCCAGTCAATTCTATTATCCATCTCACCTTGTTCCGACCACTCCAATCCTCCTGTCTCCTTGTTCTGACTGCAGGGGTTTAAATGCCGAGCGCCCATCCCTGTAAACACAATAGTCAACGTCACCAGCCGGGCGTTCTCGCCATGCACTGCCATGTACTCTGCTAGTTATGTAAGCGCCGTTGTGTTTATTTAAGTGCCAGTGTGTTGCAGGCGGTTTTCTTTCACAATTCTCAAAAACCTTCTTGACATGCACTGCCAGGCACTTTGTTAATTATGTAAGTGCCACGTAAGTGCCAGCGAGTTGCTGGCTATTTTCGACAATTCTCAAAGAATATTTTCCCATGCACTGCCATGCGCACTGCAATCGTTTGTAAGTGCTAGCGGCACTAACAGCAGCACTAATGCCCTCTCCTCCTCCCCCATTAAATTGCCGCACCACTTTCTCCATAACCCTGTGTTTGCCTTTTCCCTATCCCTCCCTCCATCTTTCCCTTCCCCGTGTGCTGGCAGGGTGGCACGTGTGCAACTCAACCAACGCTCTCCCCTGTCTCTCCCTCATTCACCCCACCACTCGCCCCAAACCCTATGTATACCTGCCCCCACCCCCTCCATCTCCTCCCACCCCCTCCATCTCCTCCCACCCCCGCCCCTGGTCCCGATGCGTCGGCAGTTTGGCACGTGTGGTGTGACTGCATCAATACCCTCTCCTCTTGAGTCGACTCAAAAGCCGCATCAATACCCTCTCCTCCCCCACTGTCTCTCGGCTGCCGTGCCCACTCACCCACCCACTTTTCGCCCCCGTTCCCATTCCCTTCGTCTTCCCAACCCAATGTGCCAGAGTGACACGTGTGAGTCACTGAACGCCCTCTCCTCCACTCTAGTTTTGAGGCGCCTCAAAACTGAACGCCCTGTCCTCCACTCTAGTTTAGGGGCGCCTCAAAACTGAACGCCCTCTCCTCCACTCTAGTTTTGAGGCGCCTCAAAACTGAACGCCCTCTCCTCCACTCTAGTTTTGAGGCGCCTCAAAACTGAACGCCCTCTCCTCCACTCTAGTTTTGAGGCGCCTCAAAACTGAACGCCCTCTCCTCGACTGTCTCTCAACTGCCGTGCCCACTCACCCACTTTTTGCCGCGTTCCCCTTGCCTTGCCTACTGAACTGACCCAGTTTTCGCCCCCATTCCCACTCCCTTCGTCTCCTCTCCCTCCCTCCCTGTGTGCTGGCAGGGTGACACGTGTGACTCACTCAATGCCCTCTTCTCCACGCAGATACAGCCACTCAACCCCGCCCTCAGCTGCTCTGACGGGCCCAGGCCCGGCCAGGTGAGCAACGGTGCAGGTGTGTGTAAGGGGGTGTAGATGGGTGTAAGTGGATGCAGCCCATAGCACATTGGGGACTTTGAAGAGATGCGGCAATATCATGAGCTGACTTTTGAGTCGGCTCAAAAGTCGAATTCGGTGAGCTGCGGCATTATCACGGTATGACATGAATTCACATCGCACTGTTTCAAATCGTATCGCATCGCGTCTAATCACTCACATCACATCACCTCACACAAAATTTAATGCATATTAACAACTCTCCCCTTCCCCCTCTCCACTCCCCTTTCTCCCCACTCCCTTCTTCCCCTCTCTCCTCCCCACCCCCACCCCCACCCCCCCCCCCCGGGCTTCAGCTCCTCTGTGTAGACTTCAACCAAACGTGGCTAGAATTGGGAAAAACCCACCTGGAATGCAACCACTATGCGCAAATCACCCCAACCGCAACCACAACCCCATCCCCACCCACCCCCGCTGGGATTCAACCACCCAAGTCTAAGAGCCAAGGGGCGGCAATGACTGAGCCAATCCTTCAACCACCCCCTCTTGTAGCCAACTACGCGAGCCAAGGCATGCTCGTTACTGAGCGGGGCCCTCAACCACCTCCCCTCCTAGCCAACTATACAAGCCAAGGCGTGTTAGTGACTGTGCTGCAGGGCCCGCAGAGCTGCCAGCAGCTGTGGCGGGCGTTTGCCATCTCCTCCCCCACGCGCTTCTTCCAGATGAATCCCGGCGTCTCCTGCGACTCGCTGCTTCCACACAGCCCCCTGCAGGGCAACATGATGAGCAAGGTGCGCTGGGTTGCATGGCCTGTGTGTGGGGTGTGGGGTGTGCGGTGTGGGGTGTGGGGTGTGGGGTGTGGGGTGTGCGGTGTGGGGTGAAAAAGTGAGGGTCATGCTCCTGCCACACAGCCCCCTGCAGGGCAACATGATGAGTCGGGGGAGCTGGGCCAGGATGTTTTTGAGAATTCTTGAAACCTGAGAATTCTCAAAAACTCCCTGCTGGGCCAGGAAGGTCTGAGTATATTTTGTAGGCGCCTCAGAAACTGCTGGGCTAGGAGGGTATGAGTATCCGCTCTCTCACCTGCCTTGGGAAAAGCAGCTTTCGAGTCGACTCAGAACAAGGTGACTTTTGATACGACTCAAATGTCTGTTCGCACACTCATCTGGTATGAAAAATGGCCCCGTTAAGGGGGGTTGAAGGGGGGGAGAGTGAACCTTCTGCAGTGCCTTCATCCTTACACGCTTCTTCTAGATGTCTAATATCAGCCTCTTGTGCGATCCCTTCCCTGCTACTATGCTTGCTTGCAGATTTGAGTGGCTGGCACCGACACGTGGCCGTGCTCTGGCTTTACATGTCCAACTAAGAGACGCTTTTCTAGTCGCCTAATAAATCTTTTCCTTTCCTCCCATTCCCACTGATTGGTTGACTTGCAGATTTGTGTGGCTGGCACGGACACTCGACCGTTCTCTGGTTTTATATGTGCGACCAAGAGACCGTACAGTGTGAAGCACGGGGATACATGCGGCATGTTGATCGCCAAGAAGTATCGGCGCAGCACTGATGTGTTTAGGGACCTTAACAATGGATATGATTGTACAGTGAGTAGGTTATATGCTGGCATGTTGCTTTGTTTGCCTTGAATAAGATAGGTACGGTAGTTCAATTTTACCGGTAATTTGTTATTGTAAGCTAAAATTGGAATGTTACGGTACCAAGTATGGTACAATGATCGCACTGTAGCATGCATTTTGTATCAGAAGCGCGGTATGGTGCTGGCAGCAGGGAAATGAGCCGGGTGGGCCTGATTACCCTGACTTTCAGGGTGTGTTTGTTTCTGTTTTACCTGTATGCAAATACTGTAGCAAATTTGTTACCAATTCAAAAGCAGGGTTCAGGAAGGCTGGCTCTGACTGACAGAGTGCCTGAGCCATTCTTATGTACCACAAGAACCTCAAAGATGTTGGAAACAATAAGTCCTAAGTGCGCTTCTGTCGTATCAAAACCCAAGGCACCAAGCGAAGCAGTCCCAATCGGAGCATCGAGTCAACCTCGGAGGTTAGGGTAACCGCCTGGAGGTTACGAGAAAGTCAAAGGTCGCTGACCTTTGACTCGACAATTACAGCGCGACAGTTAAGGACACACAACTGACTCGCTACAGAGCAGTTGCCCGAGTCGCACTGTATCGAACCGCAACAGCAATACAGTTATCTACATATCTATTCGTATTCCCTGTACTCTTATATAAATCCTTGTATTTGCTTGTTTAATTCAATCAACTTTGCTCTCACACACCAGTGCAAGGTCGGTTCAAATTCTTCACTAAACGCTTCCGCTATTACAACTACTTCACCCAGAGTTATCCCTTGCAAAGATCCTAAGGGGCTATCTCAGCCCAACATGGTATGAGAGCTGACAAGGGAAACTCTACTCCTTTTTCAAGATCATTACAAGACATGGCAACAAACAAGGAAAGGAGCTCCCCTAATGGCTCCTCGGGCACTACTCCTACTCCACCGCCAGCCTCTGGCCTGCAGACAGAAGAAGGCACGGCAACAAGACCAAGAGGAACGTCAACCGAAACCCCCATGAACCACCCTTCGGACTTTGACCAGAACATGATGGAGAAATTTTTCTCCTTCATGTCCTTCTACGAACAACACCAGCAGTCGGGACCTGCACAAACACACAACAGCAACAATGGAGCGACACCCATGAGTCTTGATGGGTCGTCATATGCGCGAGGAAACCAGCAGCAGCAACCTACCTTTGCTCCGTACGAGCGCGGGTCAATCAGCTTCGTGCCCCACCCGCAACCTTCACCTGGACAAGAAAGACCACTGGACGCACTTCAAGTTCAGTCGCAGTTTGCCCACGTCTTAAAACTGCAAACGTCAAGACCCTTCGACGGCAAAGACTTCTTTACCTGGTCCTTTGAATTCGAGCTGATGATGGAGGGCGCGCAGATACTCGGCTTCTTCGACGGGTCCCTGCAGTATCCAGCCAACGGGACACAATATGAAAAGCAGCAGTATACGTATCAATCAATGATGGCGTATACAATCCTATTGAGGAACGTGACACCAACTCAGCAGCAGAACATTCGCTCTTACCGGACCTTCGGCAACTCGGCGGAGCTCGCGTACAGCCATCTGAAGAACCTGTATCAAGCAACAGACAGTGTAAACCAGAGCAGGTTAATGGCGCAGTTGACGACAGTTGAAATGAAACCAGGAGAAAAAGGACTGGCGTATATCAGCCGATGTCGCGAACTACGCGACAAGCTGCTTCGATGCGGAGGGTCAATCTCTGAAGACGCCTTCGTGACAGTCATCATTGGTGGGCTTGGTCCTCAGTGGCGCGCCACCAAAGCCATTCTTCGAGCCCACGGAAGAATCTCTGAAGCTGCACTCTGCGCCGAAATACATGCCGAGCAACAAGATATGGACCTGCAGGAAGAACGACACAGGAAGAAAACGACAGTATCAGAGTTCGCATTCCACACTCAACGACGACACAGCAATTATAACAACCGACAGCAGCAACCGAAGATAGTACCTCCTTTCTGCCACATCTGCAAGACTTCAGGGCACCCGCGCACACACTGCCCGAATCGTCAGCAATCAACGGCATCACAGCGACAACTTCGACCTTCAAGCTCCCAAATGGCTTCAACACAAGCAAGTGCGACGACCACTATTCAAGCTTCAACGACTTCACAACCTGCACGAGGAGCAAGAAACATAATCAACTGCATGACGAAGATAACCGATTCGTGTACAACCGAATCACCACCACACTACTCACCGGAAGAAGAGCTTGACAACAGAACGCCTCGCCGTGAGCTACTCCAGCCGAATCCAACGTACGCCGCCATCGCTCAAAGTGAACCGTCCGGCCAAGACACCTGGTTCTTGGACAGTTGCTGCGGGCAACACATGTGCTCGTCCGGGCGTTTCGTACAACGCGAACATCGACTCCAACGGGAAGTAATCATCACGGTTGCCAACAACCAAAACCTGCGCACACGAAGACAAGGAGTGGTACAACTTCAGTCAAGAGAAACAAACGTCATACTGCACATGTCTAAGGTACTCATCGCTGAAGGACTCGGCTACAACTTACTGAGCGTTAGCCAGTTGATGGCGAAAGGAATTCATCTGGAAGCCGACAGCACGACCCAGGAGTTCAAGCTTTACCACGGGAGAGGCGGTCTCTACATCGGAAAAGCAGTGCTGAAGAACAACGTCTTCGTCCTCGACTTCGTTCCTGACCTCGGCACTGCAGACAGCGACGCCATCGTGAATTTCACTGATTGGACACACCCTCCGGATCTCGACCCCGACTTCAGCCCGGGAGGCTTCTGGTACTCGCACACCATTCCTGAAGCAGAACGAACACGAGCATTAGCAACAATTCGACAATCGGCAGCAGTAACAACATCGACATCAGCAGCAACAACATCGGTAGCAGCAACAACATCGGCAGCAGTAACAACATCGGCAGCAGCAACAACATCAGCAGCAGCAGAAACAACGACACCAGTCACAGTCAACGAAGCACCACCAACACCCGCACAACAGCTGAATCCGACTCAACGTGAAGTCCACCGAAGCGCCAACCTCGTCGCCAGCTTTTACTCCAATTCCGACGCATATCAGCGTTCACCTGGACACCGCGCCTCTGAAGAGATCTGGCACGCACGAACAGGACATCCAAGCAACACGGTTTTGAATAACACGATAAGAGCAGGAGTCCTTGACAAAGATTCTCTGCTTCTACCCGATGGCAGAGAACTCCAGAAGGCACGAGGGACTTGCCTTATATGTCCCGAAGCTGACTTACCTCATCGACCGTTTGCTTCACATCACAACCCGAGCGCTCCAGCGTACGCACCACTCGAAAAAGTCTACAGCGACATCCTCTACAATCGCGAACCAGGACAAGTCAACTACAACTACACCATCACCTTCATCGACGCCGCCACTCGATACGTCTGGCATCGCAACCTACCCAGCCGCGACATGGCACTCGCAGCATTCGCCGCCTGGCTACCGATAGCAGAGAGAGAGTCTGGAACACAACTAAAAAATTTTCAGTCAGACGGAGGTGGCGAGTACACCTCTCACCGCTTCAAGCAGTTCTTGGCGGAAAGGGGGATCAAGCAACTCCTCTCCCTTCCCTACGCACATCAGCAGCAAGGTGTTGCAGAACGACTGAACAGGACCCTGCAGAACAGCATGCGCAAACTGTTACGTGGCATGCGGCTACCCAACCACCAGTGGCCAGCAGCAATGGACCACGCTGTCATGCTACACAACTTGTTGTCGTCGTCGTCACTCCCGAACAACGCATCACCGCATCTGCTGTGGACAGGGAAGCAGGGCAGCACGAAAATGTTACGAGTTTTCGGGTGCATGGTACAGTACAGACCCCCAGAAGCACGAGCGGGAAGATTTTCGCAACGGGCACAGTGGGGACTACACCTCGGCATCGAGAAAAATTACAACGCATGGAGAATCTTCGACGTCCACACAAAGGAAACAGTAGCAGCACGTGACGTGATCTTCTACGAAAGACTCACCCTTCAGACGTACCTCGCCAACTTGCACGAGAATCGGGACCTCACCAGTGGTTTTCGTGGTGACCGAGCCTTCGCATCAGCAGCGGATGAAGCAGACTGGGACGAGCAGAATGTTGACAACGCATCGGCAGAAGCCGGACCTCTCCCGTACTGCTCCGTCAACGTGCCCATGGACGAAGAAAATCCTCGCGACAGTAACAACGCCGAAGTCTTCTACCACTTCGCCGACACCGGTTACGTAACACCTGCAACCGTCAACACAAATGAAGCAGAAAGATAGGACCGAATTTCATCCCTGATCCAGAAGCGGGAGACGAAGCAGCTTATCCCGAGGATCCAGAACTCCCTCGATACTCACAGACTGGGCTGCAAATCCTCGGCCTCGTCACCGCAGTCCACGGGAACACACGCAGCTCGCTTCCTCAGGAGCCTGCAACGGTTCAGCAGGCTCTGGGGGGGGAACACAGGGAGAAATGGCGTGAAGCCATGGATAGAGAACTGAAGGCATTAGAGGAACGCAACACTTGGAAGGTTGTTCCCGTAAGCGTGGCACGGAACAAAACCATCCTTACCGGGAAATGGGTCTTCCGCATCAAGACGAAAGCAGACGGCACGATCGAAAAATTCAAAGCACGCTGGGTCGTACGTGGATTCGACCAAGAGCAAGGACGAGACTTCACCGAGACCTTTGCTCCAGTCAGCCGCCACACGTCACTCCGAATTCTCCTCGCCATTGCCGCCATGAAGAAGAAGAAGTTACGGCAGATCGACGTAGCGAATGCCTTCCTCTACGCACCTGTGGATGCAGAAATCTACGTCGAGCTCCCGCACGGTTCCCACGGCGAACCCAACCGAATCTGTCAACTACTTAAGTCGCTCTACGGGATCAAGCAAGCACCGCGACTGTGGCAGCAGTACCTGCACGCCCGTCTCATCCGCATCGGCTTTAGTCAACTACCTCACGACCAAGGCATGTACCGCCTCACTAAGGGAAGTGACTACGTTCTCCTGATCGTCTACGTGGACGATCTCCTCTACATTGGGTCGACCGACGGCATCGCCACGTGGTTCGAAGGAGAGCTCCAGAAAGATCTCACGCTCACGGTCTCCTCCACCGTTACACAGTACCTCGGGCTCAACATCCGCGAAGAAGAAAACGCCATCTATCTAAGCGCCGAGAAATACGCCGACACCATCGCGAAACGCTTCAGCCTCACACCAAGCGCCATCTCCACGCCTTACCGCTATACATCAGGAACCGAGAAGGAACGAACTACTCTACTCAAGCCCGCCGGCATACGCGACTATCAGAAGAAGCTCGGATGCCTGCTATTCGCCGCCGTCACCTGCCGCCCTGACTTATCCTACTCCGCAAGTCAGCTCGCCACCTATCTCAAGAAGCCTGAAGCTGAACACCTGGCGGAACTTGATCGCGCTCTCCACTACTTCGTCAGCACCGCGACGATTGGGCTAACCTACCACAAGAGCGCAGCTACACCAACTAAGCTAATCGGCTACGTCGACGCCGATCACGCCGGCGACACCGACAACAGGCGCTCACGCACCGGCTATGTCTACCGCCTTGAGCCTATCGGTCCTATCTCCTGGCAGTCGAGCAAGCAGGAGTTAATCGCACTATCTTCAGCAGAAGCAGAATATATTGCACTCTGCTCAGCCACCAAGGAGGGACTTTACCTTCGCGAACTACTGGAAGAAGCGAAGCTAGCCGAGTTACCCAACTTCACCGTGTTCTGCGACAACCAGTCAGCAATTCGCATCGCCAACAAAAACGGCTTCGCAAACAGGACGAAACACATCGCCCTGCGCTATTTCTTCGTGAAGGACGAGATAGAAAAGGGGAAACTCGATCTGTCATACTGCCCAACATCCGAGATGGCAGCCGATTACTTGACCAAGAAACTCGGAAAGCAGAAGTTCGAATACTGCATGATGCTGACTGGACAAGGCCACGTCACCAGCAGCGACACTCCAGAAGCGAAGGGGAGTGTTGGAAACAATAAGTCCTAAGTGCGCTTCTGTCGTATCAAAACCCAAGGCACCAAGCGAAGCAGTCCCAATCGGAGCATCGAGTCAACCTCGGAGGTTAGGGTAACCGCCTGGAGGTTACGAGAAAGTCAAAGGTCGCTGACCTTTGACTCGACAATTACAGCGCGACAGTTAAGGACACACAACTGACTCGCTACAGAGCAGTTGCCCGAGTCGCACTGTATCGAACCGCAACAGCAATACAGTTATCTACATATCTATTCGTATTCCCTGTACTCTTATATAAATCCTTGTATTTGCTTGTTTAATTCAATCAACTTTGCTCTCACACACCAGTGCAAGGTCGGTTCAAATTCTTCACTAAACGCTTCCGCTATTACAACTACTTCACCCAGAGTTATCCCTTGCAAAGATCCTAAGGGGCTATCTCAGCCCAACAAAAGAGAGTTCTTGTCATGTCGTGCACATAAAACAGGCCACTCCGTAAGCCTGTTCCTGCTAGACAAATCGCTCGCCCCACCTGATCTCATCAGGCCCGCCAAAGTCCCCCTTCCCCTATCCCTATCACCACTCCCTCGCTGCCAAAATCCCCTCCTGCCTTTCCCCACTCCTCCCTTCCCCACTCCACCCTGGACCATACCCCCCTGTCTCTTCCCAAATCGCGTTCCTCTTGCTGCCGCTCCCTCCCTGCCCATTGCCCAAGTCCCCACTTGCCTGTCCCCACTCCTCCCTGCCCTGTCCAGTGCCCTGCCTGCCCAACTCCGCCCTGACCATGCCAATCACCATACCCCCCGCCCGCCCCGTGTCTTCCCGAATCCCCTTCCTCCTGCCGCCCCTCCTAACCCAAGTCTCTGTGAGCCTCCCGTCATCCTCCCCCATCGCAGCCCAAGCTCCACGCCGTTCGTACGGTACCGCTTGTCTTGTCATTAACCATCCCAGCGGCCCAAGGCCCCCTTCCGTACCTCTTGAGTCGACTCAAAAGTCACCTTCCCTATCGCAGCCCAAGCTCCACGCCGTTCGTACGGTACCTCTTGTCTTGTCATCAACCATCCCCGAGGCCCAAGGCCCCCTTCCGTACCTCTTGTCTTGTCGTCAACCCATCCCTGCCCAAGCCTCCCCTCCCCTCCATACCTCGCGTCTGTCACCCCATCCCGGCCCAAGCCCCCCTTCCATACCTCTTGTATTGTCGTCGCCACGTCACCCCATCCCGGCCCAAGCCTCTTGTATTTGGCATTTACGCAGATGATGAGCGAATGAATATTAAGGTAGGCAAAGCATCATGCCAGCCCACAACTTATTCACGGTACAATCATATCCGTTATTAAGTTCTCTAAACATGTCAGCGCTGCGTCGATACCTCTTAGCAATCAGCAAGCCACACGTATCGCCGCGTTTCACAGTGTATAATCGCTTGGTTGAGCAGGTCAGGCCAGAGTACGGTCGAGAGTCGATAGCAGCAACACAAACCTGAGAACCACCAAAAGTGGGGACAGAACGGAAGGGAAGAAAACACTTTTGAGGCGCCACAAAAGTCGTTTCACAGTGTATGATCGCTTGGTTGAGCAGGTCAGGCCAGAGTACGGCCGAGAGTCGGTAGCAGCAACACAAACCTGTGAATCACCAAGAGTGGGGACAGAACAGAAGGGGAGAACAACTTTTGAGGCGCCTCAGAAGTCGTTTCGTTTCACACTGTATGGGCTCTTGGTTGAGCATGTCAGGCCAGAGTACGGTCAAGAGTAAGTAGCAGCCACTCAAACCTGAGAGAGGCACCAAGAGAGGGAACAGAACGGAAGGGGGGAAAACGTTGAGGCGTCTCAAAAGTCGTTTCACACTGTATGGCCTCTTGGTTGAGCATGTCAGGCCAGAGTACGGTCGAGAGTCGGTAGCAGCCACACCAACCGGCAAACCACCAAGAGTTGGGACAGAACAGAAGGGAACAATTGGCCTGAATTGGTAGGTAAGGAATCGCACGAGGACCCCCCAAGATTCTTACAGCAAGTGGAGGGGAAACTGCACACTCAGTCCCCCCTCCCCTCTCCTTCACCCACCCCCCCTCCCCTTCACTTCTCCCTTATCCCTTTCCCCACCACCTCCCACCGCCCTCAACCCATACACACGGGCATTCCGACTCACCTTCCTCATCATATTCCCCTGCAGGGGGCTGTGCGGCAGCAGAGAGTCGCACGAGAGGCCGGGATTCATCTGGAAGAAGCGCGTGGGGGAAGCGATGGCAAACGCCCGCCACAGCTGCTGGCAGCTCTGCGGGCCCTGCACCACAGTCACCAGCGCTCCGTCACTCGTGTAATTGGCTAGAGGAGGAGGTGGTGGAGGGCTGGGTGTGGCTCCGGTTGCTGTTGGGGTGATTTGGGCTAAGAGGTCGCATGGTACGCGGGTTTTTCCCTGTTCTAGCCACGTTTGGTTGAAGTCCACACATAGGAGCTGAAGAGGGGGGCGGGTGGGGAGGAGAGAGTGATCCTTGAGAGAGCGACTCAAACAATCGACTTATCAACTCTAGCCACGTTTGGTTGAAGTCCACACATAGGAGCTGAAGAGGGGGGCGGGTGGGGAGGAGAGAGTGATCCTTGAGAGAGCGACTCAAACAATCGACTTATCAACTCTAGCCACGTTTGGTTGAAGTCCACACATAGGAGCTGAAGAGGGGGGTGGGTGGGGAGGAGAGATTGATTCTTGAGAGAGCGACTCAAACAATCGACTTATCAACACTAGCCACGTTTGGTTGAAGTCCACACATAGGAGCTGGGACGTAGGGGCAAGGGGGAGCGGGGGGCAAGGGGGGAGAGGAAGCAGAGAGGAGAGAAGGGTGGGAGGATGTGTGAGTGAATACCTGCTCACACCTGCACACACCTGCACACACCCGCTCACACCTGCACTCACACCCACTCACACCCACTAACACCCACTCACACCCACTCACACCCACTCACACCCACTCACACCCACTCTCACCCACTCACACCCACTCACACCCACTCTCACCCACTCGCCCCCACTCACACCCACTCTCACCCACTCACACCCACTCGCCCCCACTTGCACCCACTTGCACCCACCTGCACCCACTTGCACCCACCTGCACCCACTTGCACCCACCTGCACCCACTTGCACCCACCTGCACCCACTTGCACCCACCTGCACCATTGCTCACCTGGCTGGGCCTGGGCCCATCAGAGCAGCTGAGCGCGGGGTTGAGCGGCTGTATCTGCGTGGAGAAGAGGGCATTGAGTGAATCACACGTGTCACCCTGCCGGCAGGCACACGGGCACGGGAGGGGGGGTGGGGATAGGGGGGGTGAGGGAAGGAAGGATGGAGGGAGAGAGTGAGGACAGACAAACACAGGGTCATGGGCCCAGTAGAGAAGAGGGTGTTGAGTGAGTCACACGTGTCACCCTGCCGGCAGGCACATCGGGACCGGACCAGGGACGGGGAGACGAGGGAAGGGGAATGGGGGTGAAAACTGAGTGAGTGGGCAAGGCCAGAGAGAGGAGAAGAGGCAGCTGAGTGAATCACGCGTGTCACCCTGCACTCCACACACATGGGGAGGGAGGGAGTGAGGGAGGGTGGGGGGGAAGGGGGGATGGAAGGATGGGGAGAGTGGGATGGGAGCAGGCAAACACAGGGTTATGGGGTGAGTGGTGGTGCGATAAAGAGAGCAGAGAAGAGGGCGTTAGTGCCAAAATCAAGTGCCAGGCGATTACATAAATGCTGCACTTACGTAAACGCGGGCACTTACATAATTAGCAGTGTACATGGCAGTGCATTGGGAGAAAGCCCGGCTGGTGATGTTAACCAGAGTGTCTACAGGGATGGGCGCTCTGCACTGGAACCCCTGCACGACGGGCAAGGAGGGGCAATGAGGGGCGGTGACACAATAAGAGGCAATGCAGGACAGGTGACTAGAAGGGGAGCAGTATTGCAATTGTCAGTTTTTTTTCAAATAGCCCAGCCAGCCAGATTGCCTTTTGAGTCGACTCAAAAATCGCTGTGTTGTGCCCTGTAACCTGTTCTGATCGCCTTTTCTGAAACACGTCACAAGCCTAACCTTGTTTTGGCTGAAAAAGTCGACCGGAGTGAGCCCGTAAGTGTTGAGGATAAGCGCGCATGTGACTTTTGCGGCGCCTCAAAGGCCCACCTGACTGACAACCTTTGTGAAATCCGTCAAGAGGCTGACCTAGAGGCTGACCTTGGTCTGGCTGAAGAAGTCCGCCTGGGTGAGCCCATAAGTGTGATGCAACATCACCTGATGTGATGTTATGTGACATGACCAAAGTCTTTCATGCCTTGTTTTGGCTAAGAAAGTCTGCTTGGATGAGCCCGTAAGTGTTGAGGATGAGAGCGCATGTGAGGCCGTAGGGCTGTGATGCGATCACCTGATGTGATGTGACATGACCAAAGTCTTTCATACCTTGTTTTGGCTGAAGAAGTCCGCTTGGGTGAGCCCATAGGTGTTGAGGATGAGAGGGCATGTGAGGCCGTATGGAGACAGGAAGGTGGGCATTCGAACCTCGATCAATTGCACTGCATGCATGGGGTAAGCATGGGTTAAGCATGGGATAATCATTGGGTAAACATGGGGTAAAAAAGAGGTAGGCAAGTCACTGCAAGCAGCAAGGCAGAGGTGACGCTTGAATTGACTCAGATGCAAGAATAGAAGATACAATTTCATCATTCAGAAGGATGGGCTTGATATCCAAGACCAACGTGAGCACTGAGTAAGCAGATTTTTGAGACGTCTCAAAATTGTTGAGACGCCACGTGTAGAAAGAAGATTTTTGAGACGTCTAAAAAATTCAAGGTCATCATTCAGAAGGATGGGCTGGATATCCAAGACCAATGTGAGCACTGAGCAAGCAGAGCCAACAAACCAAGCTCTGTTTAAACCAAGTCCAGTGCTGCTTAAGACTAGGGCTTTAGGCGGCCAATGTGAGCACTGAGCAAGCAGAGCCAACAAACCAAGTGCTGTGCTGCTTGAGACTCGTCCAGGGATTTAGGCAGACAGCACCCTTCGAGGGCAAAGGCAGGTAGCAAGCAAGTAAGCATATAAGCAAGTAAGCAAGGGCAAGACCAAAGTAAGGACTGAACAAGTAAAGCCAACAAACCAAGCTCTGCACTGCTTGATTTTGAGTCAACTCAAGGGCAGAATTAAAGCCCAATGTGAGCACTGAGCAAGCAGAGCGAACAAACCAAGCGCTGCGCTGCTTGAGACTCCATCCAGGCCTTTAGGCGGACAGAACCCTAAGCCCTTTGAGGGCAAAGGCAGGTAGCAAGCAAGGGCAAGTGTTACGCACACTGGTAACAGCGGGCAGAGCCTTTGGGGTAGAAATAGAAGGGGAAGTAGGGCGAGGGGCAGAGGCAGGAGTAGGTGCCGTCTATGTCGTCAATGCACACCCCCGGGGCACATGGGTTGCTGGCGAGCTGGCGACACGTGTAGGCCTCTGGTGAGGGGACGATGGGGGAGGGGAAAGAGAATTGGGGGGGAAGGGGGGGGCAGAGAGGGGAGAGAGGAGTGAGTGAGTGAGCAGCTGTCGATGCATCCCCCGGGGCGCATGGGTTGCTGGCGAGCTGGCGACACGTGAAGGTCTCTGGTGACGGGACGATGGGGGAGGGGGGATTGGGAAAATCAGAGTGAAAAGGGGGCAGGTATAGGAGCCATCTATGCTGTCTGTACACAGCATTCATGCACACCCCCGGTGCACATAGGTTGCTGGCGAGCTAGCGACACGTGAAGGTCTCTGGTGAGCGGATGGAGAGAAGGGAAGAGTAGGAAAATCAGAGGGGCAGAGGCAGGGGCAGAGGCAGGTGTAGGTGCCGTCTATGTCATCCATGCACACCCCCGGGGCACATGGGTTGGCGGGGAGCTGGAGACACGTGAAGGAATCTGGTTAAAAGAGGGAGAGAGGGGTGGGGTGGGGACGAGAATGGGGGGAGTGGGAAGAGAACAGGAGTGAGTGAACAGCACACCAGCACAACGTCAATGCACACCCCAGGGGCACATGGGTTGAGAAAGGAGGAGCAAGCGGAAATGAGGAGGAAGGGGATGAGCCGGAGAGGGAAAAGGTGGTGGGAGAGAAAGGAGAGGAGAGGATAAAAGGGGATACTGCAGGAGCAGCCATAGTGGATTGGAGTGCACACTTTTGAGAAATTTCAAGAGGAAATAAAACAAATCAGGAAAAAAAGTGTGTACGATTGCATATTCTCAAGGGAGTTGAGAATCGAGAACGAGTGCATCCCCATACAAACCAAAAGGGTACTTCACTCCACTTACCACACTCCACTTACCACACTCCACCTACCACACTCCGTCACACTGCTGCTGCTACCACTGCTGTCACCGCTGCCACCACTGCTGCTGCTGTTGCCGCCGCTGCCACTGCTGCTTCCGCTGGTGTCAGCAGCACCAGAGAGAGCAGCACAGAGGTCAATGGTAACCCTCATGCGGGTTTTCAGAAGCGGAGGGCGGTACAACCTGATCAGCATCTCCTTGCTGCTCCCGTTATAGTCCACCCTCATCTGCCACACCTCGTCCGACTCCACAACATCTAACACCTTCTTTGCGAAAATTGACGTCATGTTGAAATCGGTGTTTACGCCGATGTGAATATCATTTATATCGGCCATTTCCGGGTTTGCTACAGTGTCCCATTCCACAGCTACACTCCGCACGCCGTCCGGCCAGCTGCCATTAGCGAGTCGCGAGGAGGGGTCCCGGCCGTACCCCATATAAGCCCCGCCCAGGCCCACGCTCGCATGTGTGCTTATAACGAACACGAGCCCTTGGGAAGCTGTTCTATTCATGGAAAAGCCATATGTGAAGGTGAAAGAACGAGCCATACAGGTTGGGGGTTTGGTTGCTGTGGGTTGGGGAGGTGAGGAGGAGGAAGGAGAGGAGCGGGGTGAGCTTTTGCGCGCACGAGGAAAGGGAGGAGGAGGGAAGGGAGGAAAGGAGGAGGAGTAGAGGAGGGGGAGACGACGAGGGAAGTTGAGGGCCCCAGGGGTGGGATCGTCTGATTGGCTGGTGGAGGATGATGCCACGTCAGCAGCAGCGACGGAGAGGTCTGCGGCGAAGAAACGCTTCCGTGTGCTGCCACGTGTCAGCAGGGGAGTGGCTGGCGTGATGTAGGGGAAGGAGAACGAGTCTGCCGCCCAAAACGGAAGCGGATCCTCGGCTGATGGGGAGAACGGGGGGAAGGGGGAACGGAAGGGGAGGAGACGGGAGAGGAGGGAGAAGGAGAGGGTTGGGTGAAAGCGAGAGGACATCGAACCAATTCATATGCTAAGTGATGGGTAGGCATTACAAGGACACTTGTCAGCTGCCATGTGATGTGTCTGATTCCTCCCCTTACCTGCCTGTCTACCTGCCTCCTCAGAACATTGCAGGCCTAAAACAGGCCTGGGGATGACACTTGAACTGAACTCACCATCCTCGGAGTCAAACTTCCATCGTAGAGCCTCATGTGTTGACGAGAAAAGGCCCCACCTTGCTTGGTCGAAGCCGACTTCGTTGTCCCACCTCGATGGAGCTGTCTTCGGCGGTCAGCCGACTTCAGCAAAGCTGACCACTGCAAAACCGACTTCAACGAACGGCGAAGCCGACATTGTGGTCTGCGTTGACTTCGCGGAGCAAGTCGGACTTCGCGGAGCAAGTCGGAATGGTTAGCCGACTTCGGGGATCGACCACAGCAGAGCTGATTTCGGCGAAGCCGGCCATGGCATAGGCCGACGAAGTGAAGTCGGTGGTCGTCGACATGACACCGAATTGCCGGCGCCGGCAACCTGGTCGACAAAGTCCTGCGAGGGGTGCGCGAGCGTCGTCCAGGTGGTTTTGACGAAGCCGACCTACGTGCAATATCACGTGCGCACGAGGTCTGCGCGGCACATTTGGCGCAACTTTCGACACGTGGCCGAACGCTGAGCAATGTGCGTGACGGTGCACAGTCAACAGTCTACCTGCACCTAAGAAGCAGGTGCGCGCACATGCACATATAGTGACCTGCGGTTGCAACGTTCGCAAGCCGCCTTGCTGCAGCGTTGGCAAGTCGCACTGGTGCGCTGCTGACAGGTCGCCGACTTTCAGCGTTAGCAAGCCAACTTTGAGTTGCGTTGGCACGCCGTTGACTTGCCGCGCTGGCAGGCCGCCCCCGCGCTATGCTATGGATCAATTAGCCTGTTGCTAGTCTTGCTAGGTCCCAGATAGTCACCATGGCCACTCAAGTTTTCATAGTGAAACTCTTACCAATTTGCTCTGTGAGTGCGCAACTAGAGAGAACACGAGCAAACGATACGATCACTCATACCACCCGTGCCTTCCCCAGTAGTTCAACTTCCGATCTAGAATGACTCTCCATATCATGCGGGTACTAAACACGGCCGATGTTGATACATAACATACACATCCCTGAAAGTCACTTACCTTGGGTGGGCCACTTGCAAGTGTTGAAAAACACGAAATGATCCTATAGAATAATAAGAACAGGAATGAGGGCACTCGAACTCACCCTCCCCTACTTCAAACTTCCACCCTAGCACCTCATGCGCCTGTGCCTGCTCCGCCCCCTTGCCCGTGGCCGCTGTGAATCCCACAAACAGCGGCGGGGGAGGGGCTGCTGCCTCCGGGTCGTTCCCCCCCAGCCACTCGCAGGTGTCCAGGAATGTGCTCAGCACGGCCGAGCGCGGGAGAGGGGGGGCGGAGTAGGAGGAGGAGCGAGAAGAGGAGGAGGAGGAGGAGGAGGAGGAGGAGGAGGAGGAGGAGGAGGAGGAGGAGGAGGAGGAGGAGGAGGAGGAGGAGGAGGAGGAGGAGGAGGAGGAGGAGGAGGAGGAAGGGCGGGTCAACCGAGGGAAACCAGGGAAGCGAGGGGAGAAGCGAGAGGGGGAGGGGGAACGGGAGGAGGAGGGGGCAGGGGAGATCCAGACGGTGAGGAGGGAGGAGGAGGCGTTGTAGTGGATGGTGGCGAGGAGGGTCTGGCCGGCGTTGAGGGACGGAATGCCGAGGGGGTGCACGGGGGCAGAGGCGAGAGAGAGCATGCTGCCGTGCAGGTTCACCCCCACGTGGTGGTCGGGGCGGTCGAAGAATTCAGGGGAAGAGGATGTGTCAAACTCCACTGCCAGGCTCCTGTGCTGCTGCGCGAATTGGGGGGGAAAGCAGGAAAGGTGGGATGGGGCATATTGAGAGATTCAGATGTAGAATTCCACTACAATAGCAGTTATATAAAGCTCGAAAGCACGATTACAAGTAACCAAAGATTAAAAATGTCAACCATGGCCAAAGATACACGCATACATATGAGCGGTGGTAACTTCGTTAATTGTTTAGCTGAGTTTTAGCGACTGAAATTCCGTAGACGAGAATTTCCGCGACCAGAATTCTGTCAACTGAAAATGTAATTCCTGTTCTAGGAAGACACTTTTGAGACAGTTGGGTCGAAAGATCTCCAGTTCAAATCTTGCTTGCACCATATATTGTCTGTTTGCGTAACTCATCCCGAATCTGTCCAGAGACACTGTATATTGACAATCACGGCTTCAAACCCATGGCAGCTTTTCCTTCTAACAAAGACATAATTCCAAACGTCATGACTGGTCTCGCCATGCCCAGACACCTAATTCCGCACCATTGAGACCGAGATTTGAAACGCAAGAGGAGGTGTGCCTGAGATAAGGCTAAGATGACACGTACCTGAGATGACACTGCACCAATGGAGCCGGAATCATCAGCACCAATTGTACTCCCCGGGGGCAGCAGCAGGCGGCCGTAGCCCAGGGACGGCCCCGGAAGGCCGAGCGTGGGAGACGGCAGCATCACAAACGCCAAGCCCTCGCCGCCCAGCCCCGCGGCGTTGGGGGAGGAGATGCGCAAGGCAAAGGAGGTGGAGAAGGAGAAGGGGCGGCAGGGGGAGGAGGGCGTGGCAGGGGCGAGCAGGGCGAAGGGGGCAGGGTGCAACGCGAGAGCAGCAGCGCTGAGGTCGGAGAGCGTGGTGAGGGAGAGGGAGGAGCGGTTGCGACGTGCTGAGCCGGCTGTGAGGAGCGGGTGGGAGCTGGAGAGCGGCCAGTGGGAGAAGGACTTGAGGGGGGAGGGGTCGGCTGCAGGGCAGTGGGGGGAATGGGGAGTGGTGGGGGGGGATGGGGAGTGGAAGGGGGTGGGGGAAGGTGAAGGGGGGCGAAGAGTGGGAATAGAAGGGAAAAGAGGGGGATCGATGAGCAGAGCACATGAGTGGGGGGTTGGAACTTGGATGTTGAGAAAAGGTGCAGCGCATGCTTTCAGTTTGCTGTGCGGTGCAGCGCATGCTTTCAGTGTGCTGTGCGGTGCAGCGCATGCTTTCAGTGTGCTGTGCGTTGCAGCGCATGCTTTCAGTGTGCTGTGCGGTGCAGCGCATGCTTCAATGCGCAGCGCAACACATGCATTCTACCATCATGCCTGTGACACACCAGTTACCCTGTCAACCATTTCTGACTTTCTGACTCACTGCGAGTGGGCATGACAGACGCAAGGTCGATAGCCATGCTCCCCGCTTCCAACGCCACACCCAACCGCCTGTCCGCACCTACCTCCCCCGCTCACTCACCTGAGACTCTATCCCTCCGTACACCCCACCACACCGCCTCTCTCCTCACTCACTGCGAGTGGACATGACAGACGCAAGGTCGATGGCTGCTCCCCGCTTCCAACGCCACTCCCACGCTTCCCTTCCGCCTGTCCGCACCTACCTCCCCCTCTCACTCACCTGTGACTATCCCTCCGTGCACCCTGCCACACTGACTGTCCCTCTCTCACCCACACTCACTACGAGTGGGCATGACAGACGCAAAGTCGATGGCACTGCTCCCCGCTTCCAACGCCACTCCCTCTCTCTTCATCCCCACCTTCGCTCCCGCACCTGCTCCCGCTCCCGTACTCGCAGCAACAGTGAACGCGGCTGCTGCCGCCCTTGCTCCCACAACCCCCCCTGCTACTGTCTCACGTTGAGATACAGGCGCGGCATCCCCTGCTGCTATCCGCCCAGCTGCTGCTGCTGCCCCTGCTCCTGCTGCTCTCGTCAGCCCAGAGCTCCGGAACCGCCGTGGCCCCCAGGCCCGCCTGAGCAAGGAGAGCGGTAGCCTGGGGAACCGGAGCAGCCTTTGCAGGGCGGATGCAGCGTGGGAAAGAGCGGGGCGTGACGCTGATCGGATCAGGAGGCCCAAGGAGGAGATGGTAAAGCCGCTGCCCCCCCTGCTGTCAACAATAGTGCTGCTGCTGCTGGTTGTGGCTGTGTGGCTGGTGGCGCCGGTTCTACTGCTGTCACTGCTGCTGCTGGCAACACCGCTGACGGTGGCGACGGTGGCAACAGCGCTGGCGGTGGCGATGGTGGCAGTACTGCTGCTGGTGCTGCTGTTACTGCCTTGCATGGCTCGAATCACCAAGTGCAGCGTCACTCCCCCCTCAGGAACTACCAACGAGGCGATGGAAGAGGAAGAGGAGGAAGAAGAGGAGGAGGAAGAGGAGGGGGAATTCGGGGGGTCAGGGAGGGGGAAGAGGAGGGGTCCCACTTGGAACCAAGGCAAGGCGCCGGACAAACTCGCGCTGCTCCCCCCACACGGCACACCCACCCTCCACTCCCCCCACACCTGCTCCCCCGCTCCTCCATCCTCCGCCCCTCCCCCAGCTGCTGCCCCTCCCCCCCCTGCTGCCCCTCCCCCTGCAGCGGCGGCGGCGGAAGCGTTGAGCGGAACTGCCAGCAGCAGCACCTTCAACAGCCGCTCCCCCTCCCCGTCCGCACCCCCTCCCCCCTCCGCGCACAGGCTGGCGCGCGCAAAGAACGAGACGGACAGCTGGCGCGGGGACTGCTGCTGCTGCGCTTGCTGCGAGACATTGTTGGTCTGCGCCGCGGGTTTGAGTTCGCACAGCGCTTGCGACACGCCTGGGCCGCCAAACGCGCTGCTAATACTACTGCTACTACCGCTGCTAGACGACGCGGGAAAGACGGAAGTCAGCCGTAAAAAACGGGACCCGTCAGCTGCCAGTAGGGTGTCCGTGACTCCTGTGACCCCGTTCCTGATTGACACGTCAGCAGGTGACGCCGGCCCCCCTCCTGCTGTCGCGACCGCTTCCGCCAGAGTCGCACCCGCTGGAGCAAACAATGTTCCGCGGTTTCCGCCGCCAGTTGCGGTAGCTAAGAACTCGTCGCTTAAGAAGGATTCCCCAGGTTCCAGCGCGCGCCACGGGAATAAATACGCCCATGGATCGCACGACGCGTTCAGCTTCTTGCGACGCCATCCTATATCGAGACAGCCTGTATCGAAGCTTGGGTTCGAGAGGAGATTTGACGGTTCACCTGTGACGGCCAAAGAAGAGGGGGTATAATGACAGATAATATAAAATTTACTGGGTAATTGAGCGGGTAGCAACGAGACCTCTAAAGATACAGTTTTGCCAGCTCAGCTGCACGTTGACGGCAACATCTAGGGTATGAACGAATAAACGGGAGGAGCGGAATGCATACCGGCACGCGACCGTAAAGGGGCTTACATTGAGAGGAGGAAGAAGGGGGTATGGTAGGAGGCAATAGGAACGAGTTAAATGTGGAATTATCAATACGTCTGGAGAGTGACGAATGATGATTCTATGGGGATCCGTCTCTACTAAAGGTGTGCTTACGACTCGACTAGATATAATAGTGACGAAACCGTAATTGGCGGTGATACCAAGAACGGGAGAAGCGGGGCCTCTTACTTGGATTCGTTAGGTTATAGCAGTCGACGAGACCGCGAGCGACACGAACGAAGGCTACGAAATATAGGAGAAACGTAACCCGTCGGAATTTCGCGACACAGTGAAGGCTCGTGGCCGCTGGGTGAACCCGCAATCTGCGGCGATAAATGCGGAAGTAATCCATCTGCTCCATCCCACGAAGAAATGTGGCTTCCAGCAATTAGCTGGAAGCCTTCCTGGTGACTCCCGTTTTCGGGAGTCCTGTCAATCTGCTTTCAATACTGGGGGGTAATTGTGGGGCAACAGAACCACCCTGCAGTCAACCTGCGCACTGCCGAAACCAACCTGCGAGGCGATTGAAATGTGTAAGTTGCGCATTGCATGTCAGTTGGGGCGAGTAATCTAGTTTGTTACTTTCGGAAACGAAAAGAAGGCCCTCGCACAGGCGAGAATTGATTAGTTCAGTTGCAACCACTCGCGTAACAAAATTGTTCAAGCTGGTTACCGCGTGATAACAATATGCGTATGTATAAAAGCGATAAAGAAAAGTTTAGTGGATATTTGTTCCTATTGGAGATGTGACAAGGCGACATTTAATTGAGATAACTACACTGCTAAAATTATGATCAGTAGAATTTCGAATGGGTTTATTATCAACAAATCAAAACAATTCCCGAATTATAATTAACTATTATTAAACGCTTACAATACTAATTGGTTAGAAATTAATCAACAAAATATCACATACTAAACCTACATATGCACTACAGCTACATAAAGCTACTAAACATCCTCTACAATCTGCCAATCCTCAACAATGACATCTCCAAAATAGTAGAACCCACTGACTAGTGGAATGCTAGCGTGACGGACCCAGCTCTCAACCTGGAACTTCCTCTTGGTCATTTCGCGGGTGTTGTTCTCGGAATCAGAAAACATGCTGCTTCGATCGCGACATAGCATCTCAAACTCGACCTGCCAAGAAAAGAGCGAAATTAGCCGGTTGAAAACGGCAAGATAAAGCATTATAAATGCATGTTCGCTCACCGCGACCATGGTGTAGCACAGCTGGTCAATGCTCAGGGTGTAGATACCCCCCTCTTTCTTCTGCCACTTGCTTGCAGCAGCTAAGAACGCCTCGCTACAGAACGGCTTGTTCTCGTCAACATGCCACGGCAGGCCAAACTCCTCTGAAATTAAAAACACAGGAGTCACAAACAAGTCATAACTAGAGCAACAGCAATAAGATAACTCACGTACCAGAGACACAGGCTCGAGCATAATTGCGCCGATCCTCAACGGAGTTTTGAACGACTTTGCCATCAGGGTACTTCAGCAGCTTGAAACTCGCCTTCCGGGACTTGTTCCCGAGTTTCCCCCGCCGGCCGTTACAAATGCCGGTGCACCTCTTCGCCCACTCGCCCTTCTTCCAGTAGTCGTTAAACTTCCCGAAGTCTTCGGGCTCCAGAGCGAGATGAACCACAACGGCCGCCTTGAACTGCTCTTCGTCAGGGTAAATGACTCGCTGGGAGACATCTGATCCCTTGAGCAAATCATTGCATGCCTTCTTACAGGCATCCTGCGAAAAGAACGAGAGTTTAGAACATACACGCGTAAGCCAGACAAAACAATAAGCAAATAACGGACACTTACTTCCATGGTTTTCTCGTTGCACCAGCTCGGCTGGTGCACAATTTCGAGAAGATTCTTGACAGTAGCAGCCAGAGTCTGGTGGATCTCATCCGATACACGAAGCCGGTTTTCAATTCGCAGCATCAAAGTGCGAACGTCTTTCAGCTCGCCGCATATGGCAGCGTCGATGTGGTTGTACGAGTTGGCCTCGGGGTGATGAACATCACGATCTGACGAGTGCACACCTGAAAACACAAGGGAGGTTTCATTAGAGCAAAACGTCATGACACTTAAATATTTATAATAAGGCCAAATGAAACAATGGAGTGAACGCTGACAGAAACAGAATAGTAATCAGTAAAACGTACCGCCAGTTCTAGCGGATGCGATGACATTTGCCGTAGCACCAGGTTGCGCCACGTGTGCGGTAGCGTTCGAAGCGTGGTTGGGAGAGGCAACTCCATTGTCTGCTGTGTGCTCGGCCTCAAGTGCCTCAAGGTCTTGCAGAGGCTGGGGTTCCGCAGGCTGAGCGCTCGGGGTACCCACCTGCTGGGCTGGAGTAGAAATTCTACGAGCTCCTGTGGTTGGGCTACCAAGCTCGTAGCCTTCGAGACGCCTGTTAGAGGTTCGGGATCTCTTACGCTGCAACTCCATTATTTCTGGGGGCACGCCTACCGCCATGTTTCCTAAAGTGCCCACTAACAGGCAAAGGCCACGTAGATGAAAACGAGGCAAAAAAAATAGTGGGACTAGGCGAACTTTGAGAATGAGAGGAAGCTCGGCTGGTTGGAAACGAAGAGAAGCTGCTCTGGTAGGGTACGAGATGAGTAGCACAGGTCGTTGGTATCGATGACTAAGAGGCATGTTGCGATGGGTATTGTTGACAGCGTGAAGGTTCACCCCGAGCTACTTCACAAGCAAATTATTACACCGATACCACACTTTGCGAGAACAGTGGACCAAACCCTTCACCTGGACTTTAATCAACGACCCTGCTCGAATGGACCAGAGCGTTAAACGCTAGTGCGATAGATGATACATCGCACTTAGTTGCTAGTCGTTTAGTAAGTACCGAACAGCATTACACAGAACATGCGAATTCTACTAATGAAAAGGTGCTTTGGTTCATTTTTCAAAACGAGATTGTCCTTGAAATACGCCAAAACGCTCCACACATTGGTGCTGTATCTGGCAATGTATGGTCTCACGACACATACGTGGCAGACAACGCGACAACTGCGCCGCTAAACAACGAACTATTCAGCGAACAATGACAGAGCAAAAAGTTTAGTGACGTGTATCTTTCAAGGCGTGGTCGCTAGGCATGGAAGTCCAACGAATGAGAGGCTTGCCTGCGAAACTGGCAACATTGTCGAAGTCACTGGAAGGCTGACAGCTGTAAGTGACGTCCTGCGAAGCTGTTACGAAGGACCCATTTCTACTTTGCATCGAGCCAGACAAACCTTAACAATGGCATGGTGGACACAGCACAGCAGCCAGATAACTGCGCGCTAGCCAACGAGGCAGGAAAGGTTACCCAGTTGCGCGGCAGCATGCCAGCAAGCAACTGTGTAATGATTACTAGCGTGGCACAACATCGCCAACAACGCACGGGTGAATGTTACACTTCCAATCGGAACAAGGGATAATAGGGGAGAAATAGCGGACTCGTTTCAACAAGCGATGCTTATAATATTCGGAGTACAGAACTGATTGTGTTATGTCCATCGTTTTTTAATAAAATTTGAACTTGTTCATAACAAAGAGCCCCTCACTGACCGAAACCATATGAGCTACGCGCAGAATGTTATCAAGCTCAAGCAGTTGGTACTCGTTGTCACCTGCCTCCCAAGCATACACCGGGCATTTTGATGTGTGCACCGCACCAGTGGCTCTGAAATAGCGGACAAATGCGTACGCGCGCTTGGAAAACGCCTTTGTCTCTGGCGTGTACAAGTCGATGGTAAACAACAGCAGGAGTCTTGCATACCATATCACCTTCCGCCTTGTCGTTTGGCCTCCTGCAGCCTCAACCTCCTCTTCACCAAGCACTGCTACATCGTTGAACCATGGTTTGTCGCCGAAAGACGCGCACGCTCGCACATAATGTGTCTGACTGGAGTACTTGGTGAAATCCACGTCGCCTGGAATAGCCATGCCGTTCTTCACACGTATGGTACCATTTAGTACCTCGCCTTCCTCGGCCTTGCCTTCCAACAGCCCCGCGAGCTTGGTCATGTCACCCGGCGCGGCCAGCGCATGTGCTTTCTGTCAGAATATTATAGCTTACTTATTTGTGTAGGCTATAGTGGGGTATCCCATAGGGGGTACAACACAACTAGAGTTTCCTATTTGTACTCACTTCATTCATAGTCATTTCATTCTCGTTCTAACTTTCTCATGGTATCGAGCAGGTTCCCCCGTGGGAACTGTGCTTAGGGCCCACCACATCGAACCTTTTTTTTTCTGCCCGGAGCGCGCTCCGGGCCCTTGCTCTTACTTTTTTTTCGATCTGCCCTAACGGCCCGAGCGCCGCCTTAGCGAGCCGCCCGCCCTAGCAGCCCGAGCGCTGCCTTAGCGCCCGCGCCCCGCTGCTCGCCCTCGCGCCGCCTTAGCGGCCTCGCCGCCCTGCTCTCGCGGCCCTCGCCGCCCTTCCTCACGCGGCTCCGCCGCCCCTGATCTCGCGGCCCCGTCGCCCCTGATCTCGCGGCCCCGCTGACCCTGAAAGCGCGGCCCTCGCCGCCCCTGATCTCGCGGCCCCGCCGCCCAAGCGCGCGCGGCCCCGCCGTCCCTGATCTCACGGCCCCGCCGCCTCAGCGCTCACGGCCCCCTCCGCCCCTGATCTCGCGGCCCCTCCGCCCCAGCGCTTCCGGCCCCGCTGCCCCTGATACCCGGCCCCGTCGCCCCGGCGCTCCCGGCCCCGCCGCCCCAGCGCTCCCGGCCCCGCCGCCCCTGATCTCACGGCCCCGCCGTCCCTGATCTCACGGCCCCGCCGCCCCAGCGCTCACGGCCCCGCCGCCCCTGATCTCGCGGCCCCGCCGCCCCAAGCGCTCCCGGCCCCAGCCGCCCCTACTACGCGGCCCCGCCGCCCCTGGTCTCGCGGCCCCCCCCCGCCCCAGCACTCACGGCCCCGCCGCCCCTTACTCTCGCGCCGCCCAACTGCAGCAGCTGAGCCGCCCACCTGCAGCAGCCGAGCCGCCCGGAGCAGCCAAGCCGCCCAGGAGCCGCCGAGCCGCCCAGCAGCAGCCGAGCCGCCCAGCAGCAGCCGAGCCGCCCGGAGCCGCCGAGCCGCCCAGCAGCAGCCGGGCCGCCCGGAGCCACCGAGCCGCCCAGCAGCCGCCGAGCCGCCCAGCAGCAGCCGAGCCGCCCAGCAACAGCCGAGCCGCCCGGGAGCCGAGCCGCCCAGCAGCCCAGCGGCCGTGTCGCCAGGCGACCTTCCTCCCGAGCCGCCCGACCTGCCCTGCCCGGTGAGCACTGCACTGCTGTCACTGCGTACCCTTCCCCTACTGCTTGCACTGCTCCACTGTCGTCGTCATGGCTACACCCAGTGTCCTCGCTTTGGACGCTGAGGGTCGAGCCATTGACTTTGAGGTCTGGCTCGACTACCTGCAGCTGTTTTTACAGTGCGACAGGGCCGACGGTCTGTCTCTCTTTGACCTCACCTCTGGCGCCGTCCCTGCCCCTGCTGCTGATGCTGACGCCACTGTTCGCTCTCAGTGGGCCACGCGCGATGCTGCTGCACGTCTTGCTGTGCGTCGCCACCTGCCTACCGCTGAGCGCGCGCACTTTAGCCAGTACAAGAGTGCTCAGACCTTGTACGACGCTGTAGTTGCGCGCTACTCCTCCCCTGCCACTGCTGCACTGAGCCGCCTCATGCTCCCCTTCCTCTTCCCTGACCTTGCCGCCTTTCCCACTGTCGCTGATCTCATCACGCACCTCCGCACTAGTGACACTCGCTACCGCGCTGCGCTTCCTGCTGACTTCTGCGCCAAGAACCCCCCCCCCATGTACATCACTCTCTACTTCTTAGTCACTCGCCTCCCTGACTCCCTTCGTGTAGTCCGGGACGACTTCCTCGCGGTCTGTCCCACCACCCTCACAGTCGACAGCCTCGAGAAGGCCCTCCTTGCAGCAGAGAAGAGCATAGTTGCTATAGGAGCCTCTCGAGGTGACCCCCGCGCCCCCATCTTTGAGGGGTGTTCTCCTTCCCCTCTCCTGCCCTCTGTCGCCTCTGCCGCTGCGGCCGACCTCGTTGGTCTTGAGTCGGTCGGTGCGGCGTCTGCCCCTAGCGGGAGACGCCGCTCTGGCAAGGGCAAGGGGGGCAAGGGATCGGGTGGGGCCAGTGGGGGCGGTGGCGGTGGAGGTGGAGGCGGCGGAGAGAGTGGGGGTGGCGGTGGAGGTGGTAGCGGGGGTGGGGGTGCTAGTGGCAGCAGTGGAGGCGGGAGTGGCGGCGGTGGTGGCGGTGGTAGCGGAGGTGGCGGAGGTGGTGGCGGTGGCGGTGGAGGCGGAGGCGGGGGTGGCGGAGGTGGAGGTGGTCGGAGTGGAGCTTCGCAGCGGAGCGGCACTGGTGGCGGTCAGCGCCAGCAGCAGCAGCAGCAGCAGCAGCGTTCTCGCGACGTCCCCACCCCTCAGCAGCTCCGTGAGTGGTACACGCAGCGTCAGCGCGGTGGGGGTTTTGGTCCCTGCACCTACGTTCTCCGCACTGGCGACCGCACTGGAGAGCAGTGTGGGGGTGCCCACTCCGCCCAGCGCTGCTTTGGCCGCCTGACGGACGCTTGGCGTCAGCAGTTCCCGGAGGCCGCGGAGATCCCCCGCTGGGGAGAGCTGTCTAGGGCTGGTGTAGCTATCTTTGATCTTGATTTTGATGCTATCCTTGCTGCCATGTATGCTGTGACCATTAGTGAGGAGGGTGACTGTTACCGGTGTTTCCCGCCCGACCCGGGCATTGGTACTGCTGCTCCAGGTGCCGGTGAGGCTTCTGCTCTAGGTGCCAGTGCGTCTGTGCTCTCAGGTGCTCGTGAGACTGCTCTCTCAGGTACTAGTGAGGCTGCGCTCTCAGGTACTACGTCGGCTTCGGCCTCCCTCACCTTCACTCTTGACTCTGGAGCGTCTCGCTCTTTCTTTCGGGACCGCACCAGACTTACGCCGCTTAGTCGGCCGGTTGCGGTTTCCCTGGCTGACCCCTCTGGGGGTCCTGTCCTGTCTCGCTTCTCCACAGTCCTCCCGTGTCCGGCGGCTCCCTCTGGCACCCTGTCTGGTCTCTACCTCCCCTCGTTCTCTACGAACTTGGTGAGTGGTGCTGACCTACAGGATGCGGGAGTCCACCAGTTCACCCCTGCTAGTCAGCGAGTGACGCACTGCACGGAGGCTAGCACGGGTCGTCACCTGGCTACGTTTACACGTCAGCCAGGGTCGAGCCATTACACACTGACCACTGCTTCTCCTCCAGGTGCTGAGTCTGGTAGGGTCCCTTTGTCTGGTCAGGTGTTTGCTGCAGCGTCCAGGTCTGGTCCTGAGTCTGCCCCCTGTTCGTGTCGCCGTCTGTCTCACGAGACCCTCCTCTGGCACCACCGCCTTGGCCACCCCTCTCTGCTTCGGCTCAGAGGCATGGCCTCCCGTCTTCTTGTGTCTGGTCTCCCCCGGTCTCTACCTCCCCTTCCTCAAGGCCCTGGCCCTGCCTGTGTCCCCTGTGTCGAGGGGCGCCAGCGTGCTGCCCCTCACTCCTCCCAGTTTCCTCCGACAGAGGCTCCGTTGCAGACACTTCACATGGACCTGTGGGGCCCTGCCCGCGTCCATGGACTCGGTCACGAGCGCTACTTCCTGCTGGTGGTTGACGACTACTCGCGTTACACCACAGTCTTCCC